TTGCAAGAATTTATAGAAATGCCATTAGCTTATGAAACAAAATCAAAATAACATGGAAGGATATTTGCACACAGGCATAGAGAGGTAGAAGCCATATGACTTTGTTATATTTCTACAGTCAAAGGTTCTCATTATTTTAAAATATTTTATAAAAATAATTTATATGAGTAGCCTGCTAGAAAAGAAAAATGAAAATGGACAGAAGCATGGCATCACAATGAAAATTTTAAAAACCTGGTTTCTTCTTATATTTAATTTCTTAACAGAAGAAAGATATTTGTTAGGAAGGTATGCAGGATTAGATTCAACAGTCATCCCAGTTAAAATATGTACAGACACAGATTAACGTGAGCACATGAGCGCACACACACTTTCTGTTAAAGGACCTTCAGCTGAAGCAACTGTGATCTAATCTTCTCTAATGAAGCAGGAAGCCATTGATTCTGATTTTGTTTTTGGAGCAATTCTGCCACCCACAAAAAAGGTAACAGTTGGAATGACTTTTTTTGGTCAGTGAAATGGCAAAAGCACCTTTTATTTATGGCAACATACTGGATACATTTAGAGGCATTTTAAATGAAGAGTTTCTGTGACAAACTAAAAGGGTGCCATCTAGCACAGAGTAGTTTCTATAAGTTTAAACAGGTTTGGGGGGTTTTTAGCTGTTATTATGTGTACATGCATTAATGATTATTCAGTGCTTCAAGATATGAACTTCACTGCCCTGGAGGCTGTAATGTTCCAAATATAAACATCAGACTCCTGCAATTTTCAAGATCCTATACATTGGCTTGCTCAGCTAAATTCTTCTGTCACACACAGAATCCATTATATATTAACTACATTTCTTATTGCAGAAGGCTGGTGATAAAACATAGTAATCCAGTATCTGTGCTTTTCAAAACATTTTAAAAGCACAGCCTTATCAACACCGATTCATCCTGCCTTAAATGAAGACAAACAAAAATGGTACTAAAGGCCTCCGCAGTGTCTAACCTAGAAGGAAATACAACCTTCTAAAAACAAACCAGTAACAACTAAATATTTTCATTGAAACAAAAACCCCCCCTGTTTCAGCAGTTGATTGGTTGGTTTGTATAGTGTGTGTTTTCTTTAAAGATGTGGTGAGATTTGGGGCGTGGGGGGTATTTTTTATTCCATGACTCATCCAACATGAATCTCTTCTACAAGAAAGTGTTCCAGAAATAAAAAGTCATATTCAGAATAGTAGCATGTATGCAGATGAATTACTACACTCTACAATATTGACTGAAAAAAACCCATTGAAAATGAAAACAGCCACCACACAAACAGAAATGTGATGGCATTTTCAGGCAAAACTTGTTTGTTTGTTCCCCTTAATGTTATGTTTTACCCCATGGTATATTAATTTCCATCCCAATATATTAATTTCCTGTATAATGTGAACAGAAAAACTTAGAAGTTGCTTAAAACAGTATTGTTTTCAGAGGAGGCTAGGGGAAGACAAAAAAAAAAAGAAAAAAGGCAAAGTACAAGGTTTTCCTTTTTTCCCCTTCCTTTCCTTCATAAATTTTAACTTTAGTTCTTTTTTGGGTTGTGCTTCTTCAGCAAGGGGCGAAGTATGGGGGCGTGTGGGGCAGTGATTTTTGAGTGGTGGGGGTGGAGGATTCTCTTTGCTCTCAATTCCAGTCAGTGTTTACCGAGCCCGCAGGACCCATGCTCACCATCCCGTAACTGCAATATCACTGCAGTGTTTCCTCCAGTTCGACAACTGTGATGTACAGTGCATGATACACACAAAAGCTCTCCTCCTGCCCCTTGTGAAGAGCACTTTCCATCTGACCTGAACAGTGGTCACCCAGCCCGAGGGGCGGCCACAGGGGCCACTGCGCTGACGGGATAAGCCGGCACTGCCAGGCCAAGGAAGGCGCAGTCACGGCAAGGTGGCCGAGTCAAGGCAACAGTGGCCAGTGCAACCTTTTAAGCCAGAGATGCAGCATGCAGCACCTCATTAGCCACAGAAGAGCCCTCACACTGAGCAGAACTAGGGAGGTTTGTTGCACCCTTTATTGACATGCAACATTGGCGCTGTGGCACTGACAGCCACCCACCATTTCTCCTCTCGGAACTGCTGAGAATGGTCACAGCTGACTTCTATCCTATGCTAAATTATTAACTTGGTGATAAATACAGATGAAAGTTGCTTTGGGGTAGGTATGTATGTCCTTAAGTACAAAACATCTCCCTATGATAACACTTAACAGGAATCTATTATTTTCATTGGCTTTTGGCTTACTCTATAAACATACTACATCATTTTTTAGGATTTTTATTACTATTATTATTACAATTCTGTATTTCTATTCAACTCAAAATGATGAATGCAAAATCAATACAATAAGTAACAAATGTATCCACAGTGACCAAACAATAAACTAAAAAGCACAGCATGGTGAGTGAAAATTAGCAGTTCTTGAAACAACTCCATTAAAATTCTGTTGCAATGTAAGAGAAAGGCTCATGCAATTACAAGGGTTACAACAGGTTTAACTATTTGAAGGCTTAACTGAAATAGTAAAATATACATAGTAGAATGTAATAGAAAGGTAGAATATCTCCTCAGAGGCTCAGTCTTTCAAGAGAGAGAGAAACATGATGACCAGTTCCTGAATTTACCAACTTTTCTCTCTGATGGTTAAGAAACTCACTTCACCCATTAACAATTGCTCTATAAGAAGGATACTTTCAGATGGTTAGGTCCTACTTTCCACAGTAATTATTTTCAGCATTTATTCAACCTTAATGCTGTACACACGCATTTCCACTGTGCCACCTTACATCAGCAGCAATTAGACAACAAGGCCCAGGAAAGCAAGCAAAGTGCATACAAATATACAGAAATATTTTCTTTTTTTTCCCCTTCCTATACGTATGTGGCCCAACAGTAGCATGCATAGATAAAAAAAAATACCCCACAGAATTCTTTATTAATATGAAAAGGAAAATATTTTTTTTTCCCCTCAGAAAAAAAAAAATCCATTATTGTCTACGTGATGACTGTAGCAATTTGAAGTCAAAATAGGTGTGCGATGTACGCAGTGAAGCTTTCATCTGGCTCTGTGAAATTCTGCTTTGTGTAGTAAAAGGGGCAGGTGAGATTACAGATGTTCTGGCTTCTCACAGACAGAGCAAGAAAATACACAGAATAACCACCAGGTAAACATTATCCCCCATTAGCTTACCCTTTTTTATGAAAAAAAAACAGAAATAAGAACATCCATTTAAAACATAATATTACAGGAAACTTCAGACTGAACACGGCAGACGAAGAACCTGCCTAGTACAAACTTTCAGGTCTGCTCTCAGAAGTGAAATTTCCTGCAAAGCAGAAAGCACAATCAGGTTTGCTCCATTTAAAAACTTGTGTTGCACCAGAAAACAAACAAGCATGTGAAACAGTGAATTCTTTTTCAAAGTAACACTAGAATAAGTTTGATCACCGTTACATGTTTCTGAAAATTATAGACAGGAAAAAAAGATAAAATTAAGTACAATGCAACTAACATACACCTTATATTCTAACTGTATAACTTCAGGAAACTATCCTAGTCACACAGGCAAAACTGATTGTTAAAAAGAAAAAAATAAATGAAAAACCATCATCTTACCCTTGCAATGCTGTTAAAGGTAGAAAAACAACCCGAAAGAAAGGAACAGCAAATTAACCTAACTGATACTTTTAATGGTGAAGAGACTTAAACTAAATAACTCAAATCTAAAACCCTAATGCTTGTCCTTTCTCAGTCTCTGGAAAATGTAGTAAAGCTAAAACATTGTAAATTTATCTTTGAAATGGACACTGAACAGTTCTGACAACTCAGCCAATTCTTTTTAATTTTTTTTAGGACAGTTTACATCAAAATCAATCTGCTTTCATAACTGATATGTTTCACTGCTAAAGACAAATCACCCCCCCCAATATATTTAATTTTATGAAAATAGGAAAATAATGCTAAGCATGGCAAAAAACACAGCACTTTTGTGACAGGGCTGAGAATGTTACAAAAGTTCTTCTCTTAAAGCTTGAAGTGAACTCCTGATTCAATATTTAATGAAACTGAGAAAGCTGCTGAATGTCCCAGAAATTCTACAACTCCCTGCTCTGTGTTCATCCTAAGTATTATGCAGCTATAAATTAACACTGAGGTTAGATGAAATTTCAAGCAGTTAAGAATAGCATTTATCCCATCACATCACCAAATTCTCTATTTTATTTTTTATGCTCTTTTACAGCACTAACTTGCAGCATTATTTTGCAATCATACATCCCAGCCCAGTACTGCAGCACTACATTGCTTAGACATAGCTCTACGCTCCAGCATGTTTTTAGGGTATGCAGCCAGCTCAGCTGTAAGCATAAGGAAGATTTTCATCAAGCAACAAAACTCTGCACAGATATTTAACACGTCCAAGACCCCTAAAGGCTTAAAATTATATGTATTTTGTGGCATGCTCCGAGCCAACACCACACCGGTGATCTGCACGGTGCAGACTACTCAGCAATTGCACCGCTGCAAATAAAATATTGTTTCACCTTTGTACCTTTAAATTCTTCAAACTAAAAGCTGAATGAAATACTGAGGTTCACTGTGCCTCCCCAGCACAGACAGTGCAGTAGCAGCTCGTCCATTACATTAAGTTTGTCTAAAACTTCCCATGTCTCATAGGCATTTCTCATCCTCTCTTGGCAGATGAAACAAAAGTTCATTTAAAACAAACCTAGGATGAGTTCATCTTATCTAGCTTGTTTTTCAAACCGCTAAAACTACGCAGTAGCCCACTCAAACAGAAAATTTCCCAGACAATGGAATCCTTTCAAACTGCACAGCCGACAGGATTCCCCAGTTGTCAGTTTTAGGTGCGTGCCAGCACGAAATGTTCTTGAATCCGAAATCTGTAATAATCACTCCTATTGATAATGTGAGCAGAAGCAGAATTACATCACGGTTAACACTTACCAAAATACATTATGTTTCTCATTAATCATGCAGTCAGGATCCCACCGCTGTGTATTCAGCATTAGCTCCTGCACAGGGCTGACATGTAAAACAGAGCTTTTTCATCCTACATTATGTGGAAATTTCCCAGCACGAGAAGCGTGAGAGAGCAGTGTGCCGCCTCAGGATGAGCTCTTTGCAGGCAGTCTTATCCCTGATACAATCCCTGTCTGATTTAGCGTTTACTCCGGCTGCATGCTGCACTGCCCATTCTTACTGTAATCTGACTCCTCCTTCTGATGTCCTTGCTGTGCCTGTGACATCAGGACTAAGAGTACTACAAACAGATCTTTTCTTTAACAGGCTCGCAACGATGTGGTCTAATATGCTGGTTAACCTAACTCCGGTTTGGACAAAAAAAAAAAGCCCTTCTAAAATTGTACTGGGTTGGGTTTTTTTTGGCAGTAAATGCGTGTAGTGACATAACGTGCTCAATTACATAATAGAGGGGAAAGACAAAGCGTATATTGTGAGCGCACTTTTCTTTGAAGGGCAGGCTCCAGGAGAAGCCCTGAGTACCCTGATACCCCAACTTCAATAGAAGATAATGATACTTGACACTTTGCAAGATCAGGTCCCCCTAAGCCTTTTTTTTTTTTTTAAATCAATAGTTCCATTACAATAAAAAATTTCAATCTGAATGTTGAAGAAAGCTCAATCTGTCTCTATTTTTAAAAAGCAACTAACAAATAGGTAGTTCATTTTCAATACAGCTTAACTGATTTTTTAAACTACAATATCTTCACATGAATAAAAAGTGTGAGGACAGGAGACATACAACAATGATGATTTGTAATGGAGTTTACAACCTTTCACCCTTCAGGTCTCTGGTTGCTTTCTGGCCCAGGTTGATAAGTCGTTAGCAGCTGGTAGCTATTTTATTGTTCTGTGGCAAATGGAGTGGTTCTAAGTTTGTTGTAAATAGGGCCCCACACAGTCCCTGCTGCTATATGAACTAGTAGCAGCTTCAGAAGAAGAAAGACCAAAGAAATACTGAAATACTCTCCACCATATACCTATAGTGCCTCGGGATGGATCTGACACACACCGGTGTGGCAGTGTGGTGAAGGCAATGTGGTCTGTATTTAGGCACATATGTCTCTTCTACGAATCGATAGAGGACATTGGTTTCCTGCTGTCAGTCTGGCGTGTATCACTGATAATACACTTACACTAAATAAAGGTAAAAAATAATGGACAGTATGCCGAAGCGTTTATTTCATTATAATAGGATCTAATGGGATGAATGCTTTAATTCTACAGGAAAGAGGATGACAGGTATAATTCATTTAAAGCTCCACTTCTTATTTGTAAAACCACCACACAATAACTACTATTTCATGAGGTCCAATCACTTCGGGCAAAATTATCGCACCAGCACAGCAGCCAAGGAATGCTCCAATTGCGGCGGCAGAGTTCAGAGCCCTGGTGTACACTGCCGCTATGCATCTCTCAGCAAGAGCCCTCCGCAGCATTGCTCTCTCGAGGTTTCATGCTACCTGTATGAATGTTACAGAGATTAAACACTGCTGGGGAGAACTGGGGCACGAATTTCAGTCCTGTCCCTTGCTGGCAGTCCCACAGCTATCCACTTCTGATACCTAGCCTTTCTCAGTGCCTGCTCTTATTCCAGCTTCCCCTGGGAAGAGGCAAGCCTGAAATGAGAGATACATGGTACACTGATAAACTCCAAAATAAGCTTTGCTTCACAACTAAAAAGCACACAGTTAAGGAGTGCACTTTGAGGCCACAGTACATGAGGGAGGAAGATCAAGACTTTTCGCACAGTTCAAACTGATCGAGAGCAACATAAGTTGAGCAAATCCTAAATCAAAAACAGAAAAACGAAGCTATCTAGAAATCATGGCCTGTATTTTAACTAGAAGGTGCAGAAAGCAAGTAACAGAGGGTATTCACAGTACATTTCTTTCCTTTATTTCATCATTACAATGCTCGTTCTTTTCTATCATACAGGGAAGGACACCTCGCTATAGGGGAAAATACCATCTTCAAAGACTGGTTTAAAATATCTCAGCTGAGCCACTCTAATGTTCTCTGAGCAGTAGATATAAGCTACTATTAGGAGCCTTCTGCAGCACAACCATTCCCTCCTCTCCCTTCACTGAGGGTAAAAGCTCAGAGAATCAATTCACTGTGAAATCCTTCAGCTCCTTTTCCAGCTCTGAAGTGCTTTTGCAGAGGCACTGCGTGACGTCCTTTAAGACAGTCTGCACCCAGGCAGAGCATTTGCCTGTTAAACTGCATTTACCTTATCACAGAAAAAAAGCTCGGGGTCATTCTGCCAGGAGTCAAACCCTGTGAGATGCAGGCTAACTCTAGTCTTGGTGCTTCAACAAGCTGATTTGTGCCATCAGCTGGTCATCTGAGAATGCTCATGTCTGTGTAGGTGTACTATTAATGGTCGGGCAACAACCATGATGCCTTTAAACACATCTTCTTGAAATGGCTGTTGTGTTACAATAGCTGCACCAATTCAGATGGCAGGTCAGATCTTCAGGAAATATGAACAACAAAGTGCCACGTAGATTGACATGTTCTCCACTATTTGGTTCTGAATGTTGCCTCCAATTTTGCTTTGCCCTATAGGATGCAAAACAAGTAGGATCACCTTCCACCTTAATGCACCTTATTTGTGTTCTGACAGTAAGTATACAATTAAAGTAACCAAAGCAATTAAAACAAGAACTTTAATTTCTTTGCATTTCAACTACAGAAATGCAAAGTAGGAGAGAAAAATCACTGGTGGCCTCTCCTGGAAAGCTTTCACAGCCCAAATTCACATAGTGCATGACAAACTCTGCTTTCATTTACACATTCAACATTAATAAGCTGTAAAAAGAAATAGAGTTTCAAGCAAGGAACAAAGAATAAATTTTATTCCCTGAGTGGGATATTGTCACTGTCAGTGAAAGCAAGGTTTAGTTTAGTAATTGCAATCCCAAATGGCTGGTGTTTTAATGCAAGCATTGAGGATTCTGTGGAAGACAGCTGTAGGGAAGCACAGTCAGGAGCAGCAAACACTTATGGGTGTCTGGAGATTTGAGTAGACCCAGCCTGGGCATGCAGAAGCATGCAGAATGAATGAGCAAATTAGTCCATGATGTCAGCCCATGGTGCAAACTCCCAACCATCAACAAGCCGACACAGGCTAACCAGCATTTAACTTTGCTACAGATGCAGGTTAACTGCAAAATTATCATATTTTCATGCATGGTGCACTTATAAAAGCAAATCTCCCAAATCCTTGTTATTCAGCAATCGCATAAACATAGCAAGAAAAAAAATTACCTATTCCTAAACCAGCTACCCCTCACCCTTATTCTTAAAAATACAAGCAACTTCTACTCCCTGAAATCCTCTTTTCCAACATAATAGCATCTCCACCTTGAGTTCTTCTGCCCTTCCTTACCTTGGTAAAGGCTTTGCCACAAAGGGTAGATTTTCAAAACGCAGAACACCCCACAAGATGTTACCTCCTTAGAATAAACAAAAAGCAGATAGTACACATAACCTGGAAGTACAGCACATACCTTATGTTTCTCCAGAGCTGGGAAAGCTACAGGTTACTCCTCACGCCTGACTTGATCTAGAGCCAGAGGGGCACTTCATGAACTAGCTCCACTAATTTGTGCTTTCTACTGATTTTTACCTATCCACTGATTTACACAATGCCGCCATAGTAAGTATCAAGGCCACTCACAGGCATGTCTTTTGCAGAGACCAATTAATATTTAATATTAATGCACCCAGTTAATTCCCTAGGATTCCTGGAAATCTCTCTTCCAGTCTTGAACTCTCCCAGGAGGCAACTAATATTAGATTTATACTCAGACTCTTACCAATTGCCTTTGATGAATTTCAATAAGTGAGGCTGACCACAAACCTTTCCTTGCAAGTGCAGAAGCACATCGAGGAACTCTTTGTTGGCAAAAGTGTAACAGTAGGCAACAAAATACACTAGTGACACAACATTTTAAATCTATACATCATGTGTAGTAAGTTAAAAAATCTCATACCTTTGAGAGGTTTCCAGATTTTCCTAAAATAAATTTTGTCTATTGTACAGACACAACTATTAAGAACAAAAATTTATTGTAGAAACATTAGTTTCTGAAAATAAAATGGGAGAAAAAATCCAAATCACACCAGACCTACTAGTCAACCAAATGCACCCCAAAACTAAAGGATTCTTAAAGGTAAAATGGGACTAGAACTTCCACATAATTTGGAAACTTATGTGTCGAAATTTCATTCCTATTAGTACTACGGTTACCACAGTGCAGAAAGAAAGAACAGCAAACAAGCCACAGTATTTTAAGTCTCCAAAAGTAATTGAAAGCGTTTCCAAGTGCACATATTTTTGTGCCTCAAATAAAATATATTAAGTACATCAGCTAGAATTTTGGTTTGTTTTTATTTTGAAGCCATCTGGAGTAATTTAAGACATACTACACAATAATGCAGATTTGGTGATTCATTACTAATCTCCTGAGGTTATCCTAAAGGATAGAAAGGGAAGAAGCAAGTTACATTTGTATATTTTAAACAGCCACAGTGGTTCATCTTTGGTTTTACACATTCTCCACTGGCAAAAACTACCAAATGTGTTTTTTACCCTTGACTCAGAAGTGTCAGTTCTGGAAATGTGCAATATTTGTCACTATGAATACCATTTAACTGCAGCAGTACCCGAAGGAACTCTGTACAACCACACGTGAATACAACTGGAGGAACTTAATTAATCTTCCTGTCACTTCCATGATGCTTTTCATTAGTTTAGCTGCTATCTGATCAACTGCTCCATTCTCTATTGGAAATGGCTAACCAGAACCTCCTATAAAAGCGTTTTCAAGAGGTAAACAGACTCACTTTTGATCCTGAGAGCCTTTACAAATCTTTACCATGCAGACTTTATCAGTTCAAAAAGAGCACTTACAGCACTGTTCTTTTTAAGCAACTGGGAATTTCTACATAGCTTAAGTAATATAAATAATACAATACGCATTTTTCTAAGCTTGCAGCTAGTACTTCTGGTATTTTGTATTTTGAACACAGACAACATGTGGTAATTGAAAGGTCATATTTTTCTGAATTTCCTTCGCATAGATATGGATAGTTACTAAACAAACAAACAGAATGTTGCCAGCATAAAGCCAAACCTGTATTTTAGGTAATATTGCTGCTAATTGTTTACTAAATGCCCATTCCTGTCATCCTTTGCTCCTAAGCATGGGACAAGATTTAAGGTAATGAATATGAATAAATATGCAACTGGTACAGAAGCTTCTTTGACTATGT